GCTTATTTCTCTCCTTTTTAAATAAAAAATTAAATTATAAGAAAGAGAATAATAAGTCACCTAAATGGTGTCTTTAAAATGATTTTTTGGTTCAAGCAACAAAAGAGAAGTGACAACTTGGCTCTAATACCAATATAGGATGGGAAAAGGAGAAGAGAAAGAGAGGTAGAAAGACTAGAGAAGCTTTGATACTAGTTGATATAAAATGAAAATAAAAAAGATAAAAAGGAGAGCAAAGAATGACAAGAGAAAAGGAGAAACTAGAGATAAAGGAGAAGTTTCTAAGGATATACTTCTTCTATTCATGGTTTGAGATTGTTACTAATTATGTTTTTAAATCGCTCCCAAGCTTCATAAAATAATTCACCTTTTTATTGCCTAAAAGATAAAAGTTCTCCTCTTAGTGTCACTCTTCTAGCCCTAGCTTATTTGGATTTGGCAGGTTTTGATAAGTATTTGTGGAGTTTGTGGTACAATATTAATATTCCTCTTCAACTACACCTTCAAGAATTAATTCTAAATTAAAATCATTAAATCAACATAGTATCAAAATAATTAGAATCACTAAATTAACAAAACTAACTACACTTCCTGTGATTATAGGAAAAAATTAAAACAACAAAAGAAAAAATCAAATGCAATCAATTGTAAAGTTGCAACAATTAACCACACAAACTTTGCTATAATTCTAGCCAGCAACATTAAACACTTATTCACCATCCAACGGAAACCACAAGCACATGAATCACAAGTAGTAATAAAACATGATTTCCTCAAGAATCAAGATAAAATCAAGTCAAATATCATAGCTATGGTATCAATTATGTCAAATGAAAACATTGAAAAAGGTGGTTTGTTTAAAATAAAATGGTTAAAACTCAAATGAAAATTGTTTAATAAAAAACTAAATTCGAAACTTGATTTTAAAACAATTAAAACCTAACATTATCTCTCATTATTGTACTTCATAAAACTTATTTAATGCCCCTCAATAGTGTCAAAATGATATTATATGCTAGTCCAATTTTGAAAAGCATTTGATGAAGTTTTCTCAAGTTAAAACTAAATTTTGTATTCTAGATTAACATTCACAATCTCTTGTTTCGATTGATGGAAATACCTAATTAAAATCATAACATTATTTTGATAAATGATGGAGATAATAGTACCAAAAAATGCTAAATATAGGCATTTCCTTAAAAAAATGATTCAAATATTGTTACTAAAAATGAAGATGAAAGACGCATTTTCGTTTAGATGGTGGAATTGTTTTGTATCAATTTGAGAAATTAGTTTTGTGAATTGGATTTTTTTAAATGTGTGTGTATGTGGTTTTTAATGAATTATTTATTTCATTTTAAGGAGAGGTTGGATATTGAAATTTGTTTTAATTTTTATTAATTTGAAAAAACAGTAAAAAGATTTATGGTATACAATGGGCCTACAGTTTTGGCCCATCAACCCACTAAGTGTTACGATGAGAAAATTCCAAATACTAAAAACTAAGCAACCTAGCCGAACCTGTGTGCCCGCCCACAAGTTTAGCTTCAAATTGAGCTTTCCGGAATATGGGCCAACAATCACATAAGCAAGCTGAGCTTTAAGAGTTACCCCGGGGGGAGGAAAACGTCTGAGCTTTAAGAAAGATCCAAAGTTTCATCCAAAATAAGAAAAAGCCGAAAGGAAAATCCAAAGTTATCCAGAAGAAAAATCAAAAGACTATTATTGTACTTGAGCGGTTGAGCCTCGTAAAATAAAAGTCAAAGATGACCTAAAATTTATTACTTTTCTTTAAATGCGCTTACCAAAAGTGTTTGGTGCCTATTGTCAGTAACCACTAACCAAGGAGATCAATATCCGGAAAAAGAAAGTCACACGGGACATTTATGGCCACTAAAATTGAGAGAGAAAATTATTCTCTCAAGAGAGGGGAAGAAGAACTATTTTTTTTCCGCACCAGAACGGGGAAGAAGAACTAAATAAGTAAATAATATTAATCCCTCATTTCTTTTTGTTAGGAAACAATCTCTCTCTCCCATAGTGATATTTCTAAAATATAAGAAACAAATTCTCTCTATATGAAATTTTAAACTTATCCAAGGTAAAAAAAACCGGACCGGACCGGCCGGTTCGACCGGAAAACCGGTGAACCGGTGGCTGGTCCGGTCCGGGAGGCCAAAAAAACCGGCCTGTAGTTGAACCGGTGCTAACCGGATTAAACCGGTAATAACCGGATCAAACCGGGCAACCCGCCGGTTTGATGGGTTGTCCGGTTTTGAATATATATATATTTTTTAATCCCCAATCCATGGAAACGACGTCGTTTGGATTGGAAATTTACAAAAAAAAAAATTTGAAGACGGGTCCGGTCCAAATCGAACGAGTGAAACACTGAAACGATCTCCCTCGCCCCTGCTTCAGTTTCTCTCGCCGTCGCCTCCCTCCCCCAAATCGAAATCCCTAGCTGAATCAAGCTCAAATCTGCCGTCGTCTCGGATCGTCGCCGTCGTCTCGGATCGTCGCGTCACGTCGTCGAGGTTGAACGTTGAAGCAGCCGGTGATCGTGGTTCAAGCTCAAATCTGCATCGCAGCCGCAGGTGGTCGCCTCCCATAGTCCCATCGTCGTTGCTTCTTCCCGGTGGCAGAATCATCGTCGGAGCTGCAGGTGCGTTCTTCGGTTTTTTTTTTAGATATTAAATCATCACTCATCAGCGTGCTCTGTTCTTCGGTCAAGTAGTTTTGTGCGTTCTTCGGTTTTTTTTTCCGTCTGAATTCTGAAGTAGCTAGGCTTAGATAAAATGAGATTTGTTTCCTTTTTCTAATGTAGAACAATATCGTGTATGATATAGATATAAGATCCGGGAAAGATTATTTGATTCGTTTGAATGATGATGTGCGTTCTTCGGTCGGTCATGCAGCATACTGAATTACTGATTGATGATTCAATGATATTTGATTTATGGAAATAGCTTCTTTAAGTGCAAATTTGATCATACTGAATTTTGGCATGATGATATCTGGTAGCACATCTGAATATTGGCGTGATGCTTGTATGAAATATTGGCGTGATTATTTGAATGTGAATGATGATATCTGGTCAGCACATCTGAATTTTGGCATGAGGATTCGTTAATCCAAGTACTTAAAGTGCACATCTAAATATTATTTCATTTGAAATCTGAATTTATCAATTTGATCTTTGATTTTTAATCAGTGATGTTATATTATCCGAGCTAATCCCATAGCAATGAACCCCCAGAGCCAGATGTTTGATTTTTTTGATTTGTTATTTAGTAACAGTGATGGATATTTCAAATAATCCAAGTTCAAGAAGTGACAATGTGAATATATAACTATTTGCATAATGATTAATGTTGATTATTGTTTTATATAGGTGATGAAGATATGGACATTGCTGATCCTCCACCTTTGCACGATGATACTGTTACTCCTACTTTTCCTTGCCCAACTGATGATATCTTAGTCCATGCTCCTACCAATGATCTTAATGATGATTTTGATTTTGTATAGTGATGAAGATGTGAATTTTATTAATATTTGCTTGGTACAATTAAACCTTTAAACTACTTTTGTAACTTTCTATGTTTTTTTTTAGTGATTATTATTTATGAATTCAGTTCTATTTTAATATTGTGAATTAAATTATATTATTTTAATATGACCGGTCCGACCCCAGTCCAACCTCCGGTTCGACCAGTGACCCTTGACCCACTGCCTCGACCGGTTTAGCTCCCGGTCCGGTTTTTTGTTCCTTGAACTTATCTTTTCACTTTTACCCATATTAAATATATGTCACTTATTATCTCTATAAAATAAATTTTCACTTATTAACTTTTATGTACTTTTTTTACAAATAAAGGTATAATTAAAAGAAATGTATATATCTGATGTATTTATTGCTTTTAACTACTCCCTCCGTTCCTTATTATAAGAGACAAATAACCAAATTACGTTGATAAGAAAAACGGTTAAAATTAGTTGAGAACAATTAATGTGTAAAAAGTATAATATTTTTTCCAACAATACCCCTATTAATAAGGAGAGAGAGTATGAAAGAAAACAATTAAATTATTAAAAGAAAGAGAAGTGGGAGGGAGAGAGAGTATGAGTTGGAGACAAAATAAATAAGGGTAAAATAGGAAATCAATACAAAAAAATAAAGACAACTTTTAAGTGTCTCTTATATATGGGAACATGTCATAAGCATCAAATGTCTCTTATAATAAGGAACGGACGGAGTAACATTTTAAATCATATGATTTCAATATATCTTACATATTTATTACTTTTAACTAATATTTTAAATCATATGATTTTAATAGTTATTTTTTATTATAAGGGACGGAGGGAATATTATATTACCTACTTTGACTCCCACGCGCGCACACAGGTGAAATTAAATAATAAGATGTCTTAAGAGTATATCCTCTTCATATACATAAATAATCCTCCACTACCACACGTATTAATCATCAATGTACTGCATCAAGTTATAATTTACAAAACCACATTATTAACCCATCTCTGACGAACTGTATATTATAAATACACTCATCTAGTTCAATCCCACGAGCTATATGACATTGCATCTGATCTGCACAACAGCAGAAGGTCTAATGGGCAGATCGGATGAAGGAAGCAGTCAGTCAGATAATAAATTACCTGCAGAATCAGATAAAGGCATAATGCAAGGGGATAGGGATTAGTTAAAGAAGCAGTATAATGATAATGCTAATCTTGAAGTCATGGAATTGTTTTGCTGTACACGTAATTAGTTATATAGTTGAGAGAAGCCAAGTCCACAACCATCCCTTTGTCACTTTGTTGGTGCTCTGCTCAGCAGATTTTAGTAGATAGAACAAAAGGCTAAAATAGACCCTTGGTTTAGAGGAATATGTCATCTTCAGGACATTTTTCTGCCATAATTTACATTGGAAAGTTTGTAACATGACTTGCCTGCTCTGTGCTAACGCTACGTGATGGAATCTGTCTCCACCCCTTATCGCATTGCAGAGGAGAATATTTGCACAAGTAAGAGCTTCGTCGGCCAAGTATTTTGCTTCATGTGAACTTGGCATCTCACCTGTATAAGATTTTCCATGATTCGTATAAAATATGTTGGAAATACCCAATATATATGGCAAGAGTAGCAAAGGAGTATACTGCATATGTGCAGTTAACGAATGAAACCAATTCATATATTTGGACTTGTGATTTATTAATCATGCCTATATATTAAAAAGGGATTTTTTTTTTCCCCGCTTTTCACCCAATGAATGATTTTCTGACAATAAAAAATCATCATGGATGTTCATCTCATTACTTAGTTGAGAATCCTTCTTATCAAAGACATGCAGCCTAATAAGTTCTTCCTTCACGGGTTGTTGATTTTGGCTCTAATGTAGACGGTGTTCGAGGTGTAACCGCTTCAAAAGCTAAAGAGGAATATATAAAGCTTTCACTTTTCTTACTTCCTTGACGAATCGTGGTAAACCATCAAATGTGGGTTAAAATAATCAAAAGGTTGTTTGGACCGTAGAATTATTGTCAAATAGTGTGCAACACATGGTAGGTGTGTTTTCAACTTTCAAAGCACGACGTTGTCCCATTTCTCTCCATCTGCGACCACGTACAATCGCGTGAATCGTTCTCCCATATTTCAACAAGTAAAAGCCATTATTCAACCACCCTCCTAATCCTTATTACTTATTCTATTTTATTCTAAATATAGCAGGTAGGTAGGAAATTTTTATTTTAAATTTTAGACCTAATTTTGTTTTGTCTTATAAATTTATAATTTTTTTAAATTGTTCATATTGATTGCACATGTTAATTAAGTAGGCTAACACATGATTGAAGAAAGAAGGAAAACACCACCGAATGATTGGATCAGCTTGTAGGAATTATTCCAGCTTAACTAAAGGTCATGCGTTCGATCATTTGGGAACACACCAGCCTAGATGGTAGGGTCGTCACCCATATAGATCATACCATGGCCCCGATCCGAATTAGTTTGATTTGTAATGTAATTGTACTTATTTGAGTGGTTGGCTAGGATATATATAACTCATATATTAAAGACATGAGGAGGAAGTATAAGATATTTTTTAGATGGAAAGGACAATCTTTATTATAAAATGATCAAAATCTATGAATTGATTTTCAATATTATTTTTATTTGAAATCATTAACCGTATAAAAAAGGTGCAATGAACATTTGAGAGTTTTTTATTATCCTTTCATCGATGCATGGGTTTAAATATAAACAAAATTAATTTTTGATTCATTTTTATATAAAATTAATGACTTAACTATCTCTTGTTAATTTTCGTAAAATAGCTTAAAATATAAAAATAATATAATACTAAAAACCTGAAAAAATAGTATTACTCAAAATCCTAATTTAGTTTTTTGGGAATTCAAAAGTAGTACTATATATGGGCCAATTCAACCCTGCAGGACTGACCTATAGGGCCGTGGGTTTAAAGCAAGTCGGCCTTGTAGGGTGAAACTTTCTGAAATATCCCATTTTGTCACAGGCTCAAGGTTGGCCACGAGCTTTTTGCTAGTTTAAGGAAAAAAAAAAAATTTTTTATATTTCTCATATATTTTATCAAAAATAAAAATAAAGTAATAAAATTACTAATAAAAGGTATAGCTATTAATAAAATTAAGTCACAAATAGAAAACATCATCATATTTAAACACCTATCAATATCTAAGAGCATCTAAAACATTAATCAACAAGATAACAATATTAAAAAATTATATCAAAAGTGCAAATGTGCAATAAACAATATTATTATCAATTTTTTGAAACTTTGTCATTACTATCATCATTATGAGTATGCTCTTCTTTGATGGCAAAAATATCAAGTTTTTCCCCATAAAAATTTCGCTTTTAAATTTTGCACTCTAGCTATTAATTGAACAAATTATTGTCTAAAACCAAATAATTAAAACAAACCATTTTATTGAACTTTAATTTCAAAATGATTATAATAACTAAATATTTAAAATATCATTAATAATTAAAAAACTAATAAAATTAAAATTATATAAAAATTTTAAAAAAATTATAAAAAGATCTAAACAAACTGATCCGACCAGTTTAGGCCATTGACTCTATAAAACCAATCCTTTTAAACATGTTTCCTATTTCAAAGGAAAATTTTTAAATCCAGTTTTCACAATTTTTAGACCTGAATATGCCGGTCCGAGTGGCTTGCCTCTTTTCCCCCTCTATTCAAAAGCTTAATTCATTTTTGTTGACCAAGTCTATTGGCTATTGCCGTCACTTATCAGCATTCCGGCCCGTAGTCTTTGTTTTGCTTGAGTCGAAACACTTCAACAACTATTAGCCGGTAGCGCTCTTTTTTCGTACAGTCCAAAATTAAATTAAAAGAAACGGAAAAGTGATATTTTAGTGTTTAGAAAATAATTAAAAAAACATGTTACGAATGAACAAGTTTTCAATCAAAACTCTAAATCACATATATATGGATGATTTCTTTAATTATTAAAAATTGATCATGAATTCTTTTAAACTTCAAAAAAGTTTTTTTTTTGTGAATAAACTTCAAAATTTGTGTAGATAATAAACTCCTTTTTCATTGCATTTGTTTGTAATTAATCATTTTAATTATGTAAAAAGAACATTTTTAACTTTAAATTATAATTAAATGCCTAACAACAAATTATATGTACACTTTTAAAAATCTAAGTTAGTTATATTCAAATTCTAATTAAAAATAAAAAATTATTTACATTCCGACAAATTTTTATCAATAAAGAGTGGCTAAAGTTGAAGTTGTTACTTTCAAAGTGACAAAAAGATACACACACACATATTAATTGAATGTTGTTCCTATCAATGGAATAGATACACATAGATAACACACACACACACACACACTGACACACAAGTATATTTTAAAAAAAAAAGTAAAACAAAATGAAAATGAAGTTTCATTGCACCCCCAAAGTACACAGAAGCTTAAATTAATTAATTAGTTATCTCATTCCAAATCAAAGTTGAAGCAGCCTTATGGAGGCCTAATTAATCACTTGCGTCTAGCTTAAGCATGCAGTTTCCCCTTGCCTCCCTTCTACATTGATTAGTTTACTATCTAACATTCCTCTCATATTTGTTTAATTTATTTTATTTATTTAGATTATATATATTATAGGCGGATGATAATGTGGTTACGTTGTATATGGAATATTATATGTAGGAGTTCCGTCCTCTGAATCTGATGTATTGTATAAACTATAATTTGCCAACAGTTTTTATATTAATTATTTCTAATTACTAGTAAAGGATCCACGCTAATAATAATAAGAGTACTTTAAAATTTATTAACTTTGCCTTTAAGATGTACTGATGGACACATTTGATTTAGGTCATCCAAATATAATTTGAAAGATTTAATTTTTAATTATTTATTTTATTTTTAAGGAAACAGAATATAAAATAACCACAAAATTTTATCAATCAATTTAAAAAATTATTATTCCAATAAAAAGTATAAAAAATAATATCATTCAAGTTATCTAAGTTAAATTTAAACGGTAGTTAAAAATGTGGGTGAAATGGCTCAAATCTGAATGCATTTTGGAGGAAATGCCGCCGGGCAAGTTTTAAAGGTTGTATCAAAGGAATGAAGAACCGTTTTGGCCAGAAATTTTTTTTCCCGAAGCATATATCTTCAAATGATTAAATTTAGAGAATTTTATGTTTCGAATCTTTATTACCGATCAGGTAACAATAAAATTTTGGGCTACCGATTCTCAAATTTATGCCTCAACGTTTTTCCTTTGTCATGATTCTTATACCTAACATAACTAACAACTGCAGTCTCGTCATTTGCATCAAAATAACAATGAAAACTATATACTCCTCCGATACTTAATATAAGACTTATTTAACTAATTTGATTAGATTAAGAAAGTTAGATAAGTTATAAGAAATATGACATGTTTTTCTCAAAACACCATAATCATCTTCTCTAATATTCTCCCTCCATCTCCTACTCGATTATGATTGAGAGAGTATCAATAAGAATAATTTAGAAAAAATTAATAAATATGACAAATATGTCTTACATTTAAGACTAAGATCAACTCAACAATTAGGTCTTACATTAAACATCGGAGGAATATATATATACCGTAAAAAGTTTCCTCCTAGAATTGATAAAATAAACGAGATCCAACTAATTTTGTTTGATCAAGCAATTCAATTGTAAATGGTTTGGCGTTATTTTCTATAGGGTCACTATAATGCTAAAAGGGATTTGCAAAAGGCTAAGATACCGTCATTTTCATACATAGATTAATGAATCAATATGCTTGTGTGTAAGAAGTGGGGTATATTACAAACAGTATTAAAAGTTGGGGTCCATCTTCTTAAATAACTTTGTGCAACATTAGGTTAATATTAATTTATAAGTTAGTAAGTTCGTTTGGAAAAAAAATTAGCATCAGAGACAAAATGAATTAAGATTTTATATATTTAGAATCAAATTTAATTTTCAAATAATTTTTGCACTATCTTCAATTTTTAATACTCCCTCCGTTCCTTATTATAAGAGACAAATAACCGAAGTACGTTGATAAAAAAAACAGTTAAAATTAGTTAAGAACAATTAATGTGTAAAAAGTATAATTTTTTTTCAAAAATGCCCTCATTAATAAGGAGAGAGAACATGAGAGAGAACAATTAAATTATTAAAAAAAAGAGAAATGGGAGGGAGAGAGAGTGTGAGTTGGAGATAATAAATATGGGTAAAATAGTAAATCAACACAAAAAAGTAGAGACAACTTGTAAGTATCTCTTATATATAGGAACATGCCATAAGCATCAAATGTCTCTTATAATAAGGAACGGAGGGAGTATAAGATAAGAGCTAGTTGATTGATTTGAGTAAATTAAGAAAATTAGTTAAATTAATTATTTGTAATAGATATGTCGTCTTCCATAAATATACTTACTAATCAAATATTATTTGATAAAATATTTAACATCTGTAACTACTGCAAGAACTCCCTTAGAAAAAATAAATAAATATAAAAAAACAAAATATACTAAATTAAAAGTTAAACTAACTTGTGATGGAGGTAGTATTAATTAGGACCGGAGAGAGCATATGCTGGTTTCAGTCAAGCCACATATTTCGCTGGAAATGTCACATATATTAATTAATATTCCTGCTAGCAGTGAACATTCTTACGATTTTACATTGATTCAGTCCCCGTAAGTTTTGCCCGTATTTTATTAGTCAACGAGCCAATCGGTCTATAAAGTTTGTACACACACCCAGAGAAAAGAAATTACAATTAAAATAATCGATATTTGGGCCTCTCCTTACCATTAGCCAGCTTTTAAAGTCCTTGACTTCCAAATGAGGCTTCTACACGGTTCCTAGCATTTGCCGGTATTAATTTGCTCCCTTTTCTCGCGGAATCATTCTTGTTTTTGTCTTTCTCGAAACTTCAAAAATTCCCCCAAAAGCCTTCCTTCTTTTCCTTCCACCAGGGAACAAGTTATAAGATTCTGGTTTTTTTCATCTTACACTTCCAGAACTCATCAAAGAAATGCCCGCCAAGTGTTTTTGTTGCTTCCTCCTACAAGCAGAAAACCAGCAAGTCAAAACAAGGTATGTTTAAATATCTTCCATCAAACAAGAACAATTCTGATATTTCTGTTTCAGTTCACTGATCGATCTTATTTCCGCATAGAAATGACAGCAAAAATAGGGACTATCCATGGGAAATGTACACGCTGAAGGAGTTGCTTCGTGCAACAAACAATTTCCATCAAGATAGCAAGATAGGAGAAGGTGGCTTTGGAAGTGTTTATTGGGGTCGAACAAGTAAAGGCATCGAGGCAATTATATATACACACATATATATTCATATCTTGTATCCTTCATTGTTCTGATCTCTATAACTTAACCATATATTCAATTATTAATATCTGTAAGGTGAATTCTGCAGATTGCAGTGAAGCGACTGAAGACGATGACTGCAAAAGCAGAAATGGAATTTGCAGTAGAAGTGGAAGTACTTGGAAGGGTGAGGCATAAGAACCTTTTGGGTCTAAGAGGATTCTACGCAGGAGGAGAAGAAAGACTTATTGTTTACGATTACATGCCCAATCATAGCTTGCTCACACATCTTCACGGCCACCTCGCTTCAAGTTGTCTCCTAGATTGGCCTAAAAGAATGAGCATCGCCATTGGAGCAGCTGAAGGCTTAGCGTAAGTACACACACACGTGTGTGTGCGCGTGCAAAGACTTGGCTTAATGTGATTCTCTTCAGTTTTCTGTCTATGTGTTTATATGACTTGCTTCCATTTGTGATTTTATGAAGGTATCTTCATCATGAGGCGAATCCTCATATCATACACAGGGATATAAAGGCAAGCAACGTTCTATTGAACACAGAGTTTGAAGCGAAAGTAGCTGATTTTGGTTTTGCGAAGCTAATACCAGAAGGTGTGAGCCATTTGACCACAAGGGTGAAAGGAACTTTGGGATATTTGGCGCCAGAATACGCCATGTGGGGGAAGGTTTCAGAGAGCTGTGATGTGTATAGTTTTGGGATTTTGCTTTTGGAGATTATTAGTGCGAAGAAACCGATAGAGAAGCTACCAGGAGGAGTGAAAAGGGACATAGTTCAGTGGGTGACACCTTATGTTCAAAAGGGTATCTTCAATCATATTGCAGATCCAAAGTTGAAGGGTAGGTTTGACTTGGAGCAGTTGAAATCCCTGGTGATGCTGGCTGTGAAGTGCACCGATAGTAGCCCGGAGAAGCGGCCGAGTATGGCGGAGGTGGTGGAGTGGCTCAAGGGCGCCGGAGGCGGAGGTGGGAGGAGGAGAAAAGAGATTCCGCCGGCAGCTATGAGGGATGAAGAAAATGACAGGAATGATAAGGACTATGAAGACATGGGAAAGAGGCAATCCATGTTGAGAATACCAAGCGATAGATATAAAATAAGATGATACTGTTTGGTTTTATGTAAAAAAAGGATGATTTGTTTTGATAACTTCTGTGTTTTGTGAAATTAAATATGAATGTTTCTATTGTTGATGGAAAGTGATTTATGGATTTTTATATTTCGGAGTTTGAGATATCTTCTTGGCTTTCCCACCTTTTCTGATGCCGTGCAGCCGAATGACCCCATGATTATGACTTATTCTTGCAATGGACTTATTTCTCAAGGCATATATGTAATTGAGTACATTATTTTAAAGACAGTGTGATCTCCGTTTTCGCATTCAATTCTAGTAGACAAGTTAAGCTGTATGGGTCTCAAGGGAAATCAACTATATGTTTGGGTTCATGCTCTAGTGACATTAGGATCAACTTTTGATCCAATCTGGCTTAGGCTGTGATATGAAGCCCGATCTTATGGCTTAACTAGTTGTGGTTAAACGGGCTGGTAAGAACAGTTATAACACAATTAGTGCTGCCCACAAGAATTTTATTCTCTCTCTTCTCCCTCATTCTCTACTTATTCTCTCTTTTCTCTCTCATTCTCTACCATTGGGTGGTGTGGTCAAGTGCTGCAGCTCCATCGGGCCCTCTAGTTCTTAGTGTTCACATCCATAGCAATCCTGCTCGAACAGTTAACACTCTGTCTCAACTCCAAAAGTCTAATTGAAAATAAGTCATTTTTTTTACTGTCAATCCAAACGTACCCTAATACTCATTAGATTTGATAAAAGAAGATTGAAAACAGATCTTTTCTTTTCTTTTTTTTTTTTTTTCCTTTTCAAAATCTTATCTCTACTCCATTCATGTTTAATATTTTATACAACTACTATTATAATATTTTATAAATTGAAATTTTGTATTTGTTTTGTAGTGCAGTTATAAAGTATACATATCAAATTCTAACCATCTAATTTTATATATTTATGTTTATAATAATAACTTTATAAAATATAGAATATGAGCCATCCATATTTTTATCTAAGGATGGATATGAGAATTTAAGAAGGAAAGAAGCAAGAGGAAAAGGAAAAATGTTAGGACCTGCAAGAAGATTTGGTTCATTTTTTAAGCAATTTTTCTTTTTCGGCCGAACGTTAAGAAAGCTCGATGTTCAAAAATTGTAGATGAATGAAACCGCACTAAAAAAGTTATCTCTTGTAATATCCAAATGTTCAAGGTAAGTTTGGTAAGTAGTGCTCAATAGAAAATAATTATATTGTATCAAAAATATTATATAAATTTATTTATGTATTATTAGATGTGACTCTAATATATATATATATATATATATATCTCATACAAGCTGTTTTAATTGTAACTTATAAATGATACAATTTCCTACAAATTACCACCAGCTACTAACAGTGTAGAATTAAAAACTTTTATATGGAATCCTGCTGCGTCAATTTATCAGTTCGATGGTCTGGAATTCACAATAAAACGAGTAAATTATTTAAGGGAGAAAAAAAGAAGAAGAAATTTGAGTTTTTTTTCCCAACATGGTAAGAAATATTTTCTTGTCATTCCAAATCAATTAAGGCGCTATCATATATTCTCACACATGTGTGGATACATATAAGACTTATAAATTGTATTAGTAGTATTTCCAACTCGAGTTCTATGGATATGTCATTGAATTTTTTTTTTTAATAAAAATTTCAATGACAAACATCTCCCTATTATAAAATGGGAGAATTACATGAGGTCCAATAAAAATATCTAATTATTAAGAAATCTCAATGACAAAAACTAATATAAATATATTATTATTTTTTATCTTAAAATTTGTCATTATATACTCCTTCGTTGTTAAGGGCAATTTTTTTTTTAGAACATAATTGCCTTTTTTTTTTTTAACAATTCTTGCCTACTGCTGTAAGAAAAGTCATTGTCAAATCACTTATAGATTAATAACGTCAAACTCTAGTTTCGCTACCCTTCTTTTTTTTATCGTCAATTTTGTCCTTTCGATCTATCTAGGAAGTGATGAAAGATTGGAAAGATAAGAAAGAAGGATATTAGTAAAAAAAAAAATTAAGGATAACAATTTTGAAGGATGTATAATTGTTTATGAAATATATAACAATTAAAGATTAAGATCCTTTATTGACCTTAAAAAAATATGGATTAAATTACGTCTACTCAGTTACAACCCTAGCAATGCAACTTTTAAAAATTAGAAGTTTAGTTGTAAAAAAATGAAAATTTTAGTTGTAAATATCATAATTGTAATCATAAACAACTAAGTCTACCTAATGTGAAATTATATTATTTATTATTTCAACCAAGTTTTTGAGCTTTAAAATTTGAATAGCACAAGAATTTGCAAATGAGGTTAGCTAGCTTATATTATTTATAATTAAGCTTTTGATTTTTTCAATTAAACTTTTGTTTATTAAATTCATTACGTTTCCATGAGAGAGAAGTCATTTTATTGCATAGCATTTCTTTTAAAAGTAATAAAGGACCGTTCCTTAATTGTCATTTGGTTAAATCGCGAGTTCGAGTATTACTATTATTTTGCGACTAATTACCTACCTTATACATTTTCTTGTAAAATCTTTCAAAACCCTAAGCGATGGAAGGTAAAGGGAGAAGAGCTATTTTCTGTACTAACTTTGGATTGAAAGGGCATTGTTTTGTTTTATTACTATGTAGTATCTTTTTATTAGAAGCAATCATATTCAAAGTATTGTTGAGTACTACTTTTTGTCCTTAATATAGGACCTTATTTGACTTTTATTTTGGTCCTAAATAGAAGACCCTAATCCACTTTGTTTCTAATATTTATGCTTTTTTTCTAAGATAATCCCTCTAACAATAGTAGTTCTAGCCAATACACTTGATTAGCAAGGATATTTTAGGAAAAACAACACCTATTTGTGACAAATAACTAACTTAACTTCTTTCCTTAATCTCCTCAAATTAGTCAATTAGTTCTTATAATTAAGACTGAAGGTAATATAAAATATAGCTACTTCTTGTAGTAGGGATTTAAATCTTGAATTGTCAGACTAACTCCTTCCACTAACTTAACAAATTCAAACATTAATAGGCTTATACAAAGTTTATTTTAAAACATAGTTTATTTTCATATTTGTTCAAAAAAAAAACTCATATCAGTACCAGTGATACCGCGTTCAAGCCCCAGCTGGTGGCGAACTCGAATCCTTATTGGGCCAGTACTAACTTTGGGCATAACCCGCTTTGTTAATGGGCTGTAAATCCCTCGAAGCGCTATTCCCTCACGATGCTTCTCTCCGACAAACTGATCTCATTTGCCGGCTAAGAAATTTTAATCTTGTTGATGATCTAATTTAACATTGACTGTCTTTTTATGGCAATATATTATAATCAATCATGTTAATATAAGTCCCACTAAATTTCAGGCAGAAAAAAACAAAGGGAAAAAAGATTCACTACGGCGTATTTCAACTATGAATCATTTATGCACAAACATAGGGATAAGAATTATTCAAAAGAATATATATTAATCACATTACAATTTTGATACTCATTTTAATACTTTAAATTATTCATATTGAACATTTTAAAATAATTGACTATTAAATTTAGGCAAATAAAAGCCAACAAAGAGTGATACACATGATTAAAAATTGGAAAATTTGATCTTTTGGTCCCCATAGTTTTCACTCATTGGTAACATAGTTATTATATTTTGACTCTGTGTAACTCAATTCTTATAGTTCAGACTCGATTATAACTCAATCCCTGAAATTTGACTCATTGCAATCGGTCTCTATACTTTTAACCATTTTATTATTTAGCCCCTTTTTTTATTACATATATAATTTCATTTTTCAAAAACCCAAGGACGTCTAAATTATAAAATGGATAAAACTAGAGGGACCAAGTTGCAGCAAGTCAAATTTCAAAGATTGAGTTACAACCGAGTCTAAACTATAAGGACTAAGTTGCACCGAGTCAAAACATGCGGATTGAGTTACAAACATACCAAATCTCTCTTAATTAATATCATTTAAAGAATTTAAAAAGCCACCAACAAGAGTTGGTTCAGTTAGTAAGAAGTCGACTTATAACCCATAAGATCATAAGTTCGAATCACACTGTCGATATGAGGATTTTGTTGGTAGGCGATTTGTAAGTACTTCTATAAACGCTTTCTGAGCCTAGAGGCACACCCCTGACCCTGGTGAGTTCCTGGCAGTGTAAAAAAAAACTGGACCGGACCGGCCAGTTCAACCGGTAAACCGGTGAACCGGTCAGTGGTCCGGTCCGGTTCATAAGCTAAACCAGGAACCGGTTCAAACCGGATTGAACCGGTTAAACCGGTGTGAACCGGTAAAACCCGATATGAACCGGCAATGAACCGGTTTAAATAAATATATTCATATTTATCCTATTTTTTCTTATTTAACTCCTAATATCTCAATTATTATAGATTTAAATGAATTTTAATGATAAGTTTGGTATCAATAGCTATTAATTTTAGTTATTGAAAAATCATAAAGATCAAAATTCTCAATATTGTTGTACTTTATTATTATTACAATCAAATTCTTATTGTATTTCTTTATATTTTGTTATTAGTAATTATTAGTATTGTTATATTTTGTCATTTTTAATTAAATTATATTATTTTAATATGACCGGTTTGATCTCGAGTTGACCCCGATCTGATCCATTAACCCTTGAACCACTACCTCAAACGATTTAGTGTTCGGTCCGGTTTTTTGTTCCTTGGTTCCTGGGACTCAACTCACTTAAACTTTTCCTAATTAAAAAAAAAGAATTTAAAAAGCCATTTGCTTTAAGACATTTCCCATGCTTCATAATGTGTCCAGAAACTACTAGTGAAAGAAGTTATGATTTTGTAAAATTGATTGCAAGATGGCATGACATGTTGGGCCAATTATGTCCAAACAAAATTAAATGTAAAAAAAAAAAATTCAAGTTGACACACACACACACACATAAAGTTCCTTTTCATAAGGGACATATAAAGGTAGAGAACTAGTAATAAAAACCCATTTGCCGTAAGACATTTCCTATACTTCCTAGTGTGTTCAAAAACTACTCGTGAAAAAAGTGATGACTTCGTAAAATTGCTTGCAAGATGCTTGACATGTTTGGCCAATTATGTCCAAACAAAATTAAATGTCAAGAAATTC